TTTATGTATTTGTGTGGCCATAAAAATTACATGAGATTTTCGACATGATTGATGTGCATTCTCTTGGATGTAATATTAAAATTTGTTTTTTTGCTGTGTAGTCTAAACATGGTATAAATGTATTAAAATTTCCAGCATAAATTTGAATGTTTATATTTATTAGTGTTCTGTTCTGCAACTTTGCATCGAGAAACTGCTCTTTTGACATGTTAAAAAATATCAATATATCAATATATTTATCGGGTAAAAATCTCTTTAATGAAGATAAAATCCTAAAACTTACTAGTAAATTCCCTAGTAACTCTCCTCGTAATTACCTTAGAATTTTCCAAAGAATTACAGTCAAGATTCCTATAGTACGGTTAATAGGGACCGCACTACAGGAACCGGCATTAACGAATACACGTAGCATATGGGATTAGAGCTAATTGGGGACAAACGCTTATTGTACGGTAATTTAAAGAGATAACTTCCTGGTGTCTTCTGAAAAGTTATTAAACGGAAAATTTGCCACCTTTTAGGAACATTCAGCATCTGGAAAGTCATGAGCCTGATCCTCCCAAAGACCCGGAAAATCCGTAAAAGTGGTCAATACATGAAACTAATCCTACACAGCAAAAAAATAATTTTGATATCACATCAAAGTGGATGCACTACAATCATGTCGAAAATTTCATGTAATTTTTATGACCACATAAATAAACAAATGCAGTAAAAGCAGCGTAATGTCAGTTCATGCATTGTATTAATGATAATTTTGTCCTTTTTAGCAAGTAATATTACACCATATTTTCGACATGATTGTACTGCATCCACTTTGACGTGATATCAAAATTATTTTTTTGCTGTGTAGAGCTCCGCGGTTTTTTCGAAACCGCTCATAGACGTCTTATCAGAATTAATTTGGAGTTTTGACCTGAATATGGACCCAGAGGACCACGGGATGGTACACCGGAAGATCTGGAACATCCGTAAAAATGGTCAATTCATGAATTCAGATTCCTAGAGCTCAGCAAATTTTTCGAAATAACTCCTAAACATCTTATCAGAATGAACTCAGAGTTGTAACTGGAATATGGACACTGGAGACCACGGGATGATCCACTGGAAGATCCGGAACATCCGTAAAAGTGGTCAATTCATGAATCTGATCCTAGAGCTCGGCAAATTTTTCGAAATCACTCCTAAACATCTTATCAGAATGAACTCAGATTTGTAACTGGAATATGGACACTGGAGACCACAGGATGATCCACTGGAAGATCCGGAACATCCGTAAAAGTGGTCAATTCATGAATCTGATCCTAGAGCTCGGGAAATTTTTCGAAATCACTCCTAGACATCTTATCAGAATGAATTCGGAGTTGTGACTGGAATATGAACTCTGGAGCAGTGATGGAAAAGTTCGCGAAAACTCACTATGACTCGCGAACTTTTCCCTTGGTGAATTTCGTGAAATATCGCGAACTTTTCCAACACTGCTCTTGAGACCACGGGATGGTCCACCGGAAGATCCGGAACATTCATGAAAGTGGTAAACTCAAGAAACTGATTCTAGTGCTCCGCAGGTTTTTCCTAATAACCAGAGAACCACGGGATGGTCCACCGGAAGATTCTGAACATCCGTAAAAGTAGTCAAGATTCCTATAGTACGATTAATAGGGACCGCACTATAGGAACCGGTATTAACGAATACACGTACCATATGGGATTAAAGCTTATTGGGGACAAAGTCTTATTGTAGGGTAATTTTAAGAAATTACTTTCTGGTGTCTTTTGAAAAGTTATTAACAAGATAGATGACCATCTTTTGGGAAAACTTTACATCCGGAAAATCATAAGTTTGGTCCCCAGGAAGACCCGGAACATCCGCTAAAGTGGTCATTTCATAAAACTGATCCTAGCGCTCCGTGGTTTTTTCGAAACCATTCATAAACGTCTTATTAGAATAAATTCGGAGTTGTGACTGAAATATTACCCTGGGGATTACGTAGTGGTCCTCTGGAAAATCCGAAACATCCGTAGATGTGGTCAACTCACGAAACTGATCCTAGCGTTCCGCAGTTTTTTCGAAACCACTCATAGACAATGAATTCAGATTTTTGACCAAAAATGGACGTTGGGGACTACGGGATGGTCTACTAAAAGATTCAGAACATCCGCAAAACTGGTCCATAAGTGAAATCGATCCTAGAGCTCCATGTTTTTTTTCGAAACCACTCAGACGTCTGATCATTATGAATTAGGAGTTGTGACCAGAAAATGGATGCTGGGGATCACGGGATGGTTCACAAAAAGATCCGGACCATCCGAAAAGTGGTTAATTCATGAAACCGATCCTAGAACTCCGTGGTTTTTTCGAAACCACTCATAAACATCGTATCAGAATGAAATCGGAGTTGTGTTTGGAAAATGGACTCTGGAGACTACGGGATGGTCCTTTGGAAGATCCTAAACATCCGTAAAAGTGATCAATGCTTGAAAATGATCCTAGAGCTCTGCGGTTTTTTTTTTCGAAACCATTCCGACGTCTTATCACAATTAATTCAGAGTTGTGACCAGAAAATAGACACTGAGAACTATGAGATGGTCCACTAAAACATGCGAAACATCCGCAAAAGTGGTCAATTCATTAAACCGATTCTAGAACTCCGCGGTTTTTTTTTTCGAAACCACTCATAGACGTATTATCAATATTGACATTCCAGACTCTGTTCCAGATTGATTTTTTACTAAATCTAGGATCGCGAAGGTTTTTATAACGCACAATCCATATTGAAAATTTTCTTAAATCCCATATATACTGAATAGTTTAATTTTTTGCTGAATATGAACAACTAGGAAATTTTCAAGATTTGCACCGGGAATTTCTAAATGAAAATTCATTGCCAACTCTGGATATGGATGGACTAGAGACTTGACCACAACCGGATACCTTGGAGCCAATTCAAGTACTGGAGTAACCTAAAATATACCGGATATTCTAGGTTCTCCAAATCGTCCTGGAGTTCAGTTGAGTTGTGCTACTGTATCAACCAAGACTGCAATAATGTCTGTAGTATCGAAATATGTCCAAACAGATGCAAAGTATCTATATGGATTATACCCGATCTATTGCTACGTATACAAGATGTTATAGGTTCTGAAATAATTCTGGAGATCAGATTATTTTTCCACTAGATCACCCAAGACTAATTCAATATCTGTAGTATCGAAATATGCCTAAACAAATTTGCAGTGTCTATGTGGATCATGCCAACCTATTTCCGTGTATGCCAAATGTTCTAAGATTTACAAATCGTTATTTCTATACTACATATATTATCCTAGTTTTTGTTGATCTAGTAAAACAAATCATCTGAACTGCAGGACGATTTGGAAAACCTAGATCATCTGGTGTACGTGGAAATAATTAAACATTATTCATATAGACACTATGAATCTGTTTGGACATATTTCGATCGTACAGACTTTATTCCAGTCATGGTTGATTCTAGTAGAATAAATCATCTGAACTCCAGAACGATTTGGAGAACTTAAAAAAATCTGGTATACATGGCAATAGTTCATGCATGATTCACATAGACACTGTGCATCTGTCTGGACATATTTCGATACTCAAGACATTGTCCCAATCTTGGTTGATCTAGTAGATCAAATTATCTGAACTCCAGGACGATTTGCATGATCATGCATGATCCACATAGACACTTTGAATCTGGAATCTGATTGGACATTTTTCGATACTACAGACATTATTGCAGTCTTGATTGATCTAGTAGAACGAATCAACTGATGTCCTGGACGATTTGGAAAACCTATAATTTCCAGTATACATAGTAATAAGTCGTGCATGATCCACAAAGTGACATATATCCGATTCGGTTATGATTTGACAACGAAAAGTGCTAGATTCATATTATACATAAAATATGACGCGGTAAAAAATTAAAAAAATTTAGACCCAAATTAAGTACAACATTTAGGACAGCAAAATACGTCAGAGACGCAAAAGTTAATTTTCAAGAAAATTTGCATTTCAAATGAAAATGCATTTTTTTTTAATAATGTTCATCAAATCTAGGCCGGTATTATTCAATAGAATCTCATAATGTAAGGGTGTTTTATTATGTTCATTAATTACTCAGAATTTATACTATACACAAATAACTGAAGATGATACAAAGTTATTTTTAAAAAAAATGTCAAATGTTACAAACCATACTCCTTTAGCTCAGTCGGTAAAGGCGCAGCTACAAAGAAAGTCCATGCTGGAGGCGACTGAGTTCGATTCTTGTCCGGTCTATTAATTTTTCGGGTTGGAAAATGTCTCTACTTCCTTGGGCATAGGATGGTACAGGCATAGAAAGCTCTCAATTAAAATGTGAAAGTGCTTCAAAGAACACTAAGTTGAGAGCAGACAAAAATCTAATATGCTATAAGCAATAAGCTTGGAATGCCATGAGGTAGTAGGGGAAATGTATGTAATGTCGGCCTAAGTGTCCCTAATTTGGGCCCATACATAAATTCTGCAATCGACTAAATTTTCAATAGCAACCAAAAATATCCATTAGTACCATCCCAATGACGCGTTCAACTAGATAAAATTGATAAATAGCAGATTTTTAGCGATGGGCCCAATCTTAGATCCATAGGCCAACATTAGAGCCATTTCCCCTAGTATACAAATAGTATTTTTAGCCAATGAAAACAGTTTTTTTGTCGCGGATCAGTTTAGAAAATCTTGCAACAGCCCTGAAGTTCAAATCTGGTCAAACTGGAGCAGTTTTGAATTGTTTACAAGTGTTGTGGTATCGTAAAGGTTAAAACGCATGTGACGGAAGATCTACCGGTATTAGTATTTTTTCGCATTCCAAGCAGCTTATTTTCTTTGTGAAAATAAAGAAAGATTTAAATGAGACTTGGCATTAAAGCTGTAAACAACCCACACGATTTTCAATAATTACAAGGTATGTTTGCTATCATTCGTCTCTTTATAGGTGGCCGACATGATAACACACTCAATCAGACGTACGCCCAAGCGGGAGCGAAATCTTTGCGTGATTCTCGGTTGCCTGGCAGAGAAACTGGCCGGCCCAAGCAGCATAGCGGTACTATCCGACGTCACACTCGGTTATCTGTTGGGAAATCTGGTAAGTAATAGCAGCAGCTAAGCACCTGACTCCACAGGCGTACGCCCCCCGTGCGCGCGCTTTTTTTTATCGCATCACGTTTCAGTCACGCTAATTTCCTCTCAAGTGGGTGAATGTATTAAAAATCGTTTTTAACATTTACAGGACGAAGGAATCAATCCGGACGTGATGTTGTTCTCACTGATTGCACTGGAAAAGTTTGCCCAAACAAGCGAAAACAAAGCTACGATCAAGGTGAGTGATGAGAATGTGGGAATTGGAAAACCGGAGAAGGTAATTCAATTTGTTTTCGTTTTTTTTATCTTCCAGCGAAAACTAGCACTTTACCCGGAGAATCCACTGACGCGGCTCGAACGACACATGGACAGTAAGGAATTCATTCTCAGGCAGGTTGGCTTCTGTGCTCGATGGTGCCTAGATAACTATTGTAAGTACCAGTCCCACTTGAAGTGATTTACCAGTGATAAGGCTAAGCTTTCATGTTTCCGTCAGTTTCGTCAGTTCCGTTGTTCGTGCAGCGAGTTCTGTTGAGACACTTCGATGGAAAGGAACGATAAGCAAAAGTGTGCTGTGGTGGATGCATTGAACATACATTGTGTGCGATCGATTTCTAGATAATTAACGAGCTCTTTTGGACATGGTCGACGACTTCGATGATTTCACTTCTAAGATTTGTCTCTTCTTCCGGCCCCCGGGGGGCAATGTGGCACGGAAGTAGATGTGTGCGGTCTGATTTCAATCACTGGTGATATTCCTGATACGACACAATGTAACGTTGTTTGGTGCATTGGTGCATTACATGTGCTATCACCATAAAGAAAAAATCTGAACTTAGATATAAAAAATCCAGGAAAATTAGTATTTTCCTTAGATTCCCGAGAAAATTTACAAGACTAAATAATGTTTCTATATCACCATAAACAAGTTGGACTCTAAACAATACCAAAAAGTTAATTTTTGCAGTTTTTTGAGTCCAACTTTGCGCCATGATGAAATAGAAAATAAAAGATTCTTTAGGGAAAAGGAAAGAACTATTTTTTTTATATCTTTTTCCAATATTTTTAGAAACATTAAAATGTAAATTTTTTGCCGGTGGCGGTAACCCGAGCAAAGTTAGAGATCAAATAGAAATTAGAATTTGCTGTTAACTGTAACTTATTTTGAATACTCCATTTGATTTCATTTTGGTTGACTTGGTTATGAAATCAACATTTTACGCTGTTGAATCAAAAGGAAAACTAATCCTGCTTTCTGCATTCATAATGTTTAACTGAATACGGGCCTGGCGTAAATGGTTAGCATCCATGCTTTTCACGCTGAAAGACTTGATCTCAAATCTCGCGTCCCTTTTCAAATAAACCAATGTAACATATCTACCATTTTGAGAAAATCGAAGTTGAAGTTCGACAGATTATTATTTTAACTGTTTAGAAACAATACATGTTGCAATACTATTTTTAATGTAGTCAGTGAATAATAACGTTGAAAATTCAGTAGAAACGGTAAAATCACGATTTTACTTTGAATTTCATGCTACAATATAGAAAAAAAAACCACATAGGCAGGCATGGAAAATCATTTGCATTCATTTCATACATTCATTTACATTCATTTGCCTTTAACTTTTTTCATCAACAGCATTCCGCAAAATTATGTACAGAGCTTTTGTATGTTTTGTTATTAGCTACAACTTTTGCTCATAACTCAAATCTGTATCTTTTATGCATCACGAACTAGAGCGGGCAGAACTTGTTACTATTTTTCAGTGAATGTAACATACATTCACTGAAAAACAGTAGTGGCTTCTGTTCGCTCTGATTCGTCATGCATAAGAGATACGGATTTGACTTGTTAACAAAAGTTGTAGCTAATAATAAAACATACAAAAGCTCTATACATAATTTTGCGGAATGCTGTTGATGAAAAAAATTAAAGGCAAATGAATGTAAATGAATGTATGAAATGAATGCAAATGATTTTCCATGCCTGCACATAGGACGGTTTGACAAATCCAGTTGTACATCGGACATGTTACATTGTACGATTTTTCTCAATGACATAATCAATGAGTGTTACATTGGACGTTTTGTCTACATGATACTAGATTCCCATTCACAGATTTCAGAGTAGAGTACCTAACTATAGATTGGCCCCGCCTTTGGAAAATGAACACTAATCATGTTAGGCAGTCCGAATGACCGAAGTAACAATCATGTACCCATCATTTCAAACTGTACATTGGACAATTTGTGATCTTGATTATCTTAAATAAATGAAAGTAAATTTGGATGGATGTTTTTATATCACATACAATGACAGAAGATCAATAGTTTGTATCGCTTAGCTGAATTTGTTTACATTTGTTACTTAGGACCTTTTGAAAAGTGAAGGCGCACTCCGTTTGCCACATGAGCAAATCGCTTACCAAATCATGTATTTCTTGGCAAACTTTGAAAGTTTCTGCTTCCTTACTTCCTCCGGAACATCAAACTTGTGCTGGGCGGTGAAGAACAGTAGCCCCGGAAGCTACCGGAAGTCCGCCTTGACGTAAGTCTCATCATCCATGATGAGACAATAAGGCTTCGTCCGTGACCAGAGATTTTTATGCCTCAGAAAAATTCCACCGACCTCGGCTGGGATTGAACCCAGACCCATTGGAGTAAGAAAGCAGTCACGCTTACCACTACACAACCGGCGCCGGCTAGGTTAAATCCCAAACGGCCCCTTTGTATTACTGAATTGGTGTGTCCCCGATGTAATTTACCCTTCTCACTAACATAACAAGATATTCCCATGATGACAGTCGTGGTAATAGACGACTGCACGGATGGATTTGAGTTCATCTACTCGAGAAAAAGTGGCACAAGCTGCGAGTAATGTTTACTAATCATGAACACTAATGGCGGTAATCTCTATCTCGGATTAACTTTTAATATCGTTCCTTATTGGAGAATCTGCCAAATGTTTGTTAAGGATATTATTGATTAACATCGACGTCGACAAGAAAACAGTCTGTCATTCGGGATCGGGATTTAATCCAAAGATAATACCGATTGGAACTGAATAATGGACATTTATGGTGGTAAGCACCAAGAATCAAGAATATCAAGCTGCTTTGACGTCAATATCAGAGTTAATCAGCACGACTCTAAGCAAACATTTGGCAAATCATCCAAACAGAGCCGGAATTAAAAGTTAATCCGAGGTTGAGCTTACCGCTATTGGTGTTCATGATTAGTAAACATTGCCCGCAGCTTGTGTCACTTTTTCTCGAGTGAGTGAACTCAAATCCATCCGTGCACTCGTCTATGGACGTGTGCACCGATGAATTTGAGTTCACTCACTCGAGAAAAAGTGACACAAGCTGCGGTCAATGTTTACTAATCATGAACACTAAATGTTCACCTATGTTCACTATTCATTATTCATGAACATTTAGTGTTCATGATTAGCAAACATTGCCCGCAGCTTGTGTCACTTTTTTTTCCGAGTGACTGAACTCAAATCCATCGGTGCACTCGTCCATGCAGAGATGTATTCTGTCTCTAACAACAACGGATCTCGAACTATCAATCCTTTTCGTCCCCAATGACGGTAAGGACGCGGCGGTGCTATCAACTATACAAAGCTATTAACCTTCGAAATATGTGTATAGACATGTACAATATATCAGTGCACGAAGATTTGCTGCACTCTTCTCTCACCCGTAAATTTTGACAGTTTTAGGTGGTTTGTTTTGGCTCCCATTCGTTGCCATCTCTGAGTTTAGGAACCGTGCACTGCTCTATAGTTAGATCTCAGACAAATAGATATAACCGTTAGAAGAAAATTCTTCAAAAAATATTGTTAAGCATATTTTGTATGCACACTAGCATCATAGAGGTAACTCTAAGACCAGAAGGTCCCGAATAAACGTGCTCAACTTTTTGGCTCAGCTCTGGTTCTTCGGTCCCAAGCTAATCGATTCACCCCTCGAAACATAGAAAAATCCACTAACCCGTCATTTTATCCGTCAAACTTTCATACACGGCGAATGAGAACAACTCAAATTTGAGTTTAGTTCACTCATAATCGCCAAAAGTGCAGGAACTCAGCGATGAGTTAATTTGCCTCATGTTTTCCCAGGTTTTTCCAGGATTTTCCAGGGAATAATTCCCGAATTTGAGAAAAGTAAAGATTGGATTCACTCAGTCTATTGGTACTACTCCGAGACTGAATAAAATTTTCGTCAATTTCCTCATTTTCCGGCAGATTTTTTAGGTTTTCCACAGGAAACCATGAGACAAATATTACTCATCGCTGAGTTCCTGCACTTTTGGCGATTATGAGTGAACTAAACTCAAATTTGAGTCGTTCTCATTCGCCGTGTAGCGAATCAAAACAAACATTGTGTAGTACTAGAATTTTGAGGAATGGGGTTCGTTAATCGATTTGCTTGGGACCAATAGGCTAGTCAAGTAGTGAGCCAATTTAAAATCGTTAGTTTCGAATTGATTGTTGCTAGCATCCTCTATCATGCACATTCCCAAGCTTTGTTTTTCAAACGGAGCATCCCTCGTTCATGCAATTTTTTCACTAGTTGCTTTTCCCTCGTTCTGTTAAAGCGTCAGCTGTGTTGAATAAAAACAAAACAGATGGTAGTCAGTGATGTCGCTTCTACGAAATTTTCCGAAGATCTATAGAATTGATTGAATTTGCATAAATACGGATCCGTAAAAGAAATTCACAGAAGATTATAGCGAATTCGTTTATTATTCAGTTCCAACCTGGATCGGGTATCAAGATTGGGTCTGCTTGTTTTCTGACAAACGTCAGTTTGATCGTTTGTTTTTAAATCCAGCTCAGGTTGAGGTTCGCACTGACAAAAAGTTCGGTTTCGCACTGTTCCCAGTTCCAACCCCGATAATAAACAAATTCGCTATTAGTCTTTTTTAGGGATTCGTTTTGATTGTTTAGTGTGATTTTTCATTTGCCGGATACAAGTGGTCATCGTACAGCGTAATATCATAGAGGTAACTCTAAGACTAGATGGTCCCGAAGAAACGTGCTCAACTTTTTGGCTCAGCTCTGGTACTATCTTCGGTCCCAAGCTAATCAATGCACCCCTTGAAACATAGGAGAATCCACGAAGGTATGTGCATGTTAGCTTATCATTCTCAAAAGCTGTCATCTACTAAATTGAACTGAAAAAGAACTGGCATCACTGATCAGTTTGAAATGTAGTGGCTTGCTTAACGCTTCAGTGGCGCCACCATGATAAATGCAAGCCCATTCCCAACTAAAACCTTATTTGCGAAGAATGTGATAGTGAGTGCTATGTCAGTTTGTCTGTGGTTAGATCATCCCAAGCCCAATTCATTTTCACATGGAGTGTTCAATTTTGCAGATTCTTTCCAATCACGGAGTGGAAACTACGAAACGGATGGTCATCGAAGCTCAAGCTCCGCTCGAGATCCGATTCATCATTATCGGAATCGATGATGATGATGGCTCAAAAAAACGTTGCTGATTGCCTCACCCTATTTTGGAACTCTTTTTTACGGACTGCTTCGATGTTGGTTTCGAAAGCTTAATTACTCCAGTTCAAATCTCCCAGAAGTATTTTGATCATAAAGGTTCTGAATATAGTTGTCGGTAGATTTCTGTTGTAGAATGTTAGGAGCCGATCCAGAAATCTTCAGAAACTGCTTTGTCCCAAATCCGGCAATCAATTTGTCTTCAGACCATTCGTTGTTGATCCATCATCCGCTTGAGTTCGTCAGTTTGATGATTCCGTTTCCGAGTACGAATTTGTTCATAGATTATGACTGTAACCACGGTGAGGAGTTCGAAACTAGCTCTTCTCCTATTGACAACTGGGTGTTCGTTTAGATCAATGGCAACACGGATTTCACGGAAAACTATCTGTTGTTCAAACTCAGATCACAACTCCGAACATTTCAAAACACAATTCGGAATATTTAAGAAAAAAGAAAGTAGGTAAACCAGAACAAGGGATTTGTGGGAGATGCAACTAACAGCAGTTAACCAATACTGTCAGATATAGTTAATTGCATTGGTCAATCAAGAACGGATTATGAAAAATTGAAATGCTTTTTGTGCTTCTTGATAACATTCATTCAATTAATCAGTTATTTTTCTCGTTTCTGCAGTTTTAGGGTTTTTGATATACACCCAGATACTGAAAAAAAACCTCCCATCAGGTAGCTGGTAATATTCATCTTTCTTTCTTTTGTTCCACCAATTCCAGTCCTCATCGAAGGCCGCAAGTACTCGTACGAAGTGACGGACGTAAGCAACGTGGACGTCATGCTCAACACCCGGGACGTTAGCGAATATCTCAAAATATCGCCGGACGGTCTGGAAGCTCGCTGCGACGCGTATTCGTTCGAAAGTGTTCGATGTACCTTCCAGGTCAATACCGGCTGCTGGTACTACGAAGTGCTAATCATCACCCCCGGGGTGATGCAAATCGGGTGGGCCACCAAGGACTCCAACTTCCTGAGCCACGAGGGCTACGGCATTGGTGACGATGCCTACTCGATAGCATTCGACGGCTGCCGGAAGCTGATTTGGCACAATGCTCGCTCGATGTCACACGATCTGCACATCTGGAAGGGTGGGTCCGTACTGGGTTGCTTACTGGATCTGGACGCCCGTGAGGTCATATTCAGCCTGGACGGAATGGAGGGCGGAGTGCTGAAGCAGGTGTTTGGCAGTGCGAAGGACGGTTTCTTTGCGGCGGCATCGTTCATGTCGTTCCAGCAGTGTAGGTTTAACTTTGGCTCGACACCGTTTGTGCATCCGCCGCAGAATAGGCAGTTTATGAGTTTCAATGATTTTGCTCAAATGAATGAGCAAGATAAGGTAAGTTGATTGACAGAGTTTCGGTCAGTACCGTGATGACTTTCTATATTGTCAATTTCAGGTCGTGCTTCCGCGGCACCTCTTCCTAGAGCAGCTACGAAAGCTAAGCGTCCGGGAAGATTCCTGTACGCTTTGTTTCGACATGAGCGCATCAATCCGAATAGAACCGTGTAAGCATCGCGGTTTCTGTACCAACTGTGCCGCTCAGTTGCAGTTCTGTCCAATGTGTCGGGCCGAAATCATCAGCACCGTACAGGAAGTGTCCCTAGATAGTACCCTAGATAGTAGTCCTCTATCAGATGAGGTAATTGCGACGACATGATAGTGATACAACCGTTGCCTAGCATAGGATAAATAAAGTGGCGTTAGCAGTTGCACAGTAGCATCGGAATTCCGAGATGTTCAGGAAGGAATAAGAAAAACAAATTTTGTGATAATACGAATATTTAAAAATAGCTATCGATAATTTTAATCGTACGGACACAGTAGAGCGAAATTAATGTCTTTTGTATTGCCATTTGAAAAAAAAACGACACTTCTCAATTTTTCAACCGCCTTGCCATTCTTACCGGCCAGGTGTTCGTGTCAAAATAGTTGAAATGAAATTAAATTCTACGAATTATCGAAAACTTACTCTAGCAAACAAGCAGAAACTGTTTGATTATGGCAAAAGGCCAGTCTGATGAAACTTTATTCTGTCAATATAGCCTAGGATCGTTTTAAGGAGATCCCTTCTACGATTTCTAAGTAATTATGGGATGATTTTGACACATCCAGAGACCTTCAAGTGGAAAAGTTTCTAATCAATAAGTATTGTCTGGCTTAGATACATTCTGCTGTCGCTGAGTTCCGTTTATGTCTTCCGTACAAGATGAGAGGAAACCAATTGCTATGAAATCATCGTGGGCAAAGCAGAAAACTGATGAGACCTGAGCACAAAGTGATCGATGGCTAACCCCGCAAAAATCAGTTACACCCCACTCGTCGTTTGAATCTTTTTTTTTTGCAGCCTCGAGTCGTGCAAAGGGAAGCTTTCGTTTGTGCTGATCAATAATTTAATTGTTGCTCATGTTATGCTTCGAGTCACACACAAAAGAGATCATAAATTAGAGCTAAGTTCAAGGGAATCGATTCTTCATGATATGAAATAAGCCATCTGTTTTTAAATTAGGGTTAATAGTAGTGCAGACATACCTCATGTATATGTTCTCTTCTATATTTACTTATACCTAAAACAGAATAACTTGGATGACTTTACATCCGGCGATGTGTAGCATATAGTTTGTCATATTTTATTATCCCGTTCGTGTCGCGTTCGTCATTACCTTTACTTTGCATCTGTTGAATGATATTACACACCACACAAGCATCCTTCGTATAGATTGTATATGTATATAAACAGGATACGAAGTGAGGAAGTCCGAAGTTGATAGAAGAAAACAAAATGGAACAACCGTATGAAATCGATATGACTGATGATATATTTTTGTATGAACTGTGTGAGTAAATACCCAGCGCAATGCGAATTGGACATATTGGATCTATGGATTTGAATCATTGTATGAGAGATAATCGGAGAGTCGAGTAAAATTAGTAGTGAATCACTGTACTTGAAATCACTGGAATTATAATATCAAATCGTAAAGTTTACTCCTGATTTGTTACTGAAAGAAACTTCCTTAACCCGTTAGCGTACCAACTTGATCTGTTAGTACTATCATGTTCTTCGAACTTATCTTAGTAATGCCGAGAGGATTCCTCGAATGCTCCGCCATTATTAGATTCTAAAATAACGATATAAATGCTACCCGGTTTGTTCAAAGCTATTAAATATCGTAGTATAGTTTTTGATCATTCCACTGTACGACGTTAACCAATAAAGAAGTGTTTCAATAGTGCTCTAAAATAGGTTATGGGCCCAGACTTCCAAACCGGAAGATTCTGAAGATGTTCATATCGAAGCAGAAACATGTTCACAAGCGGAAATTGCGAATCTAGACAGCAACGTCAAGGGAAAGGAGATGCCAACGAAAGAAGTGGGAAGCGTTCGAGTCAGCAGAAATTCCGTTGCGCTGCATGCCATTTAAATGCTAAAAGGAACTGGGCCTTTGCGATGTGCATGATTCTGATCTGCGAAGGAAGCTGGTCGTCTGCCGTTGCAAAGGGAACGATCTCGATGGAAACTAAAGAAGGTCTCGATGGAAACTAAAGGTGGGTCGCAAGAAAATCTCAAAGCTTGTGACTAACCAATATTGTATGCAGGCAGATTTTGTTAGGTCAAAATAGCGCCAAAAAATCCATCAAACTTCATGATTTCCTGAAACCCATAAACAGAACACCTAGTATTCAACCAGCTTAAAAACGTCTAGCTAAAAAAATGCCCGACATGCTAAAATAGCTATAAACGCCAAACAAGTTTAAAAACGACCTTGAATGTACGAACATTATCTGAAAACACTTTAACGATGAAGTAGTATTGTTGCGGGAGACGTAGGGATGCTGGATCAGATATGACACTTCTATTGATTAATGATAGCTACGGTGGTGTGATTGGTGATAAGACAGAATGTCATGGAAAGTAGATAAGGGATTTAACAAAAAACAATGTGATTATATGCAGTCAGTATAATTCAATGCCATTTAAAAAGTTATGTATAATGTGAATTAAAATTTAAAGCAGGTTAGTCATTCACTGTCACTGTTTATACTATTGGATACAGTATTGAATTAACACTAAAACTTACTGCTATATTACGATCTGTGAGTTAATTTAATACCTTATTGCTTAGCTTAATACTAAGATCTTAAAACCAACTTATTCTAGCTAAAGTGACTAGGAAAGAGTGCATTTATCATAGGCTAAGAAGACGTAAAATCTTATAGTAGAGTCACTGAATTTTGAGTACACATTTGAAAAACAACATAAGAGTGTGGTGTTTAGCTTTCTATGCGTACGCGCATATGCCTAAGATCGGTCGTCTTCGTGCGATGTTTTCTGTGAACATTGCTAACCAGCGATCAGAAAAATAGATAATCCAGGCCTTGTGGCCATAGAGGACCACACCGGTCTAATCAGCGTCTTGCAGACAGTCAACTTCGTGCGGCAGCGAATTTTATTCGACCGGAGTGTCCTCCGGAGTCCAAAGTAGATACGATTTCCTGCCATAATGCGTCTTTGAAGTTCTCTGCTGGCATCATTTTCGGCGGTCACCTCGATTTAAAAACGCTGTTCATAAACTACTTAGACAGTATAGGGGGGGGTGAGGTGCAATTATCCACGGCACATACAAATTAAAAAAAAAAACTTGTATGGATAATTGTCTACGCAGGGAGAGGGGAAGGGTTAAAAATCCCAAAAACCTGTCTACGTAGTTAATGGACTTACTAGTCAATACAATTATTTCTCCAAGTCCGAGAGTTCACACTTTTATTCCGTTTCCTTTCTTTAGTCCGCCTTAATAGATTTTGTCTGTTCACTACACTGCCCATAAAAGCATTACTGTCCCATATGAATAGGAAATCAAGCAAAGATGGGATAATTATGCTTTTATGGGCAGTACAGTACGTCTCAAGAACATAAAATCGAGCATAAATAGAGCTAATCAAATTTATATTTTAGCTTTAAAACATTTTCCCAAACTACGGAATTGCTAATAGATCAGTGTATGCAACTCTGCGTCTAATGCTGTGCCAACGTATCTACGAAGAGAATCTATTAAATTAAATCCCATAAAACATATCAGTCTATCAGAAAAAAATAGCAAGCCAACAAAAACACTGTTGAAAATTTATTTCTAATGGATGGGACAACCTGATTTTGGTATTTTGGTTTTAATTTCCGCTTAATCTCTATTCTTATCTATAAAATTCCATTGAAATATTCTTGATAATTTAATCTTGGAACTCTTCCAATATGTCCTATGCACTCCATCAAACTGGCCTTGAAATTCTATCAGAAATTGCTAAATGTTCTTCGTAAAAATTTCATTGGAATTCATCTCCGTAAAAACATTCGTCAGAATTCCATTGAAATTATTCTCACGATTCCTCCTTTGTCTGTGATTTCTTTATGGATTCTCCTCAGCATAGCATTTGAATTCTTCTCAGATTTCCATGCAAAGGCTCACAGCAATTCCTTTAATTTGTCATCAACGTTCTTTAAGACCCATCTTAAGAAATTTCGAAAATTTCTCTTAAGAAATCTATTTGTTTTCCTTATACAATCTCTATGCAATTCCGGAGAATATACTATACCAAATGAGGAGAAAGAGCTACTTCTGTTTGTCTGTGTTAAACTTCAAGAAAAGGCACGTCTTTTCCATGTTTTGCCAAGAGCGCAGCAGGCACTCATTTTATTTCTTTTGAAATGTAACGGAGCAGATGAGTGTGCTGGTCGAAAGATCATATGTTATGGGTTCCCTCACATTGCTCAATCCCAGGCAATGAGAAGGCGGGCTCTCTCGCAAAGGATTGTATTGCAGATAAATTCCACATAATGAATTTTACCATTTAATGCGTCAGAGTACCTTTTCGAGTTGGCAAACCGATTAGGACACGGTGTTTCTTCGAGAGAGTGGTTGAAAGGCTTGGACTTAATTCGTTCCTTCATTCGCATGATGAGTAGACTTAAGTCCAACCACTACTCGCTAGATTCGCATCTCCATAGAATAAACCTCGTGATAGCAACATCGTTGGGTGTGCAAACGGTTACGATGACATTGATCACGCAGTTCGGCAATGTACGGATAATGACGGCGCCAGAGAGCGACTTTTTAATACCCTCGAGGCCTAAGGAAGACAACCCTATATCCCTATGAGGGACATGTTGGGAACCCGTGATCTCTGCTATATGCAGTCGATTTAGGTGTTTCTGAAAATGTCTAGTATAAGAATTTATCGAATAAGAAACATCGTCGCCCACTGGTCACCATAGCCGGTCGAACTCCAGACGAATCTAGACCCGCAGTACCGTTCATATTCGCGACAACGCACTTCGAAAATGTATCCCTCTAACCTCGGGTATGCCGCGAGTATTCAGCCCAACTCCTACTTGACATAGAAATAAGTTAATTGTGTTACAGACAATGAACAATGAATTATCGGCTCCGTAAAGTTAACGCGATTGAGCCTTCCAAATAAACGATATAGATAAAAAAAAAGGCTCAGCATGCCCTCACTACGACGCTGCATGCAGTTAAATATTCCATTAATTCGACAGAGAGCGTTCATAAGGGCGTAATTGCCGAGCTAATTGCAATGATTGATTCTCTCTTATGTTACTCACTTGGAGTATTATTTCTCGATGCGTTTGCTGTTGCTTTTGATAGCCAATACTATTGGTCAGCACTGTATTGGACAAATTTCTGAAAATTGCTTCCTTTAGCTGTAGCAATTTAAAGAGAAAATCGATGAAGAGAATCGAGCATCGCAATTAGGCCATTATGCATGCTCACTGTCGAATTAACCACTTCATTCGAGCAGATAAAATGACGTTTACTACCACTCGAACTTTGAAATGAAACATTATTTTGAGATTTTTTCTTCTAGAACCTCGAAAAAAATAGCCAACATTTGTGCTTTTAACAAAAAAATAGAAATTAGTTGGTCCAGTTTTGTGAAATCGCTGGTAGAAAGTCACACCAAAACTGCTTGACAAAGTGGTCAATTAGATGTTGTATGCTGCTTCTGACAGCACTCACCACCAAAGGACAAGCAGCCTTCAACCGTACGGGTGGATAGCCGGGTTGAAAATGTATGGCGAAATTCACTTTTAATTAAAAATACCCATAATGCTAGATAAAAATTTCAAAAAATCATATCAGCATTAATCGATTCTCTTCATCGACTTTCTCTTTCGTTTATAACTCAGCTGCAAAACCATTTTCTGTTGTATTTTATGTTTTGGACGCTACATAAGAACCTCCTTCATCAAACTATTTGGTTAAAATAGCACGAAATCTGTTAAAATAGCAGTAGTTATCAAAAGAGAAAGACGATGAAGAGAATCGATCAAAGCAGATAGGACCTTTTGAACTGTTGATCGAGAATGGAGCAATTGGTTCGATATATTATTTCTACATAATACAAAAAAGAACAAAATGTAAATTTTTGCAAGGTTTGAAGAAGAAATCGACGAATTTTCGAAGATTTCCATACTGCAGAACTGGTTTATCCACCACAGGTAAGGTGACATCTGTTTGATTTGAACTATTGCTCAAATTATAATTATTATTTTATACATGTACATATATATTGTTGGAATTCACCGCTTTTAATCCACTGTGCGCGCTTGTCATCCACCTAAATATTTCAAGCTTATGTCGTTTTCGTATTTGCGGTGTAGCTACACCGCCGAACACCGAAAAATTTAAGGGTGGAGCTATCGGTTGCACCTTTGTTTACAAACAAATGATGATGAGCTGTCAATGACTCGCGCTTATTGCTGCTAGCACTACACCTTTGTAGTGTAGTAAAAACGAACACGACATTAAAATCTGCAAAATACATTCATAATTGGTAATTTAGAATTTATTTTAACTCACTTCCATGAGGATCTTACACTCAAAAAATAAATCACATTTCCAATGGAAAATATCCATTAGAATTCCACATAACTTTCATGTGATCTCATAATTGGGAATCGCACTACAAAATCACATGAACCTTATGTGTCCAATGAAATTTATGTGATTTAACACATATAATTCATGTGATCATATTAATGTTATGTGAATTTCAGATACGAATCATTAATTTAGTTGTTGGAAAAATATCATGTGCGTTCCCAATGGAAACTATATGAAAACTTTTTTTTTCGGTGTACGGTTATAGACGATAAATCAAGCTGAACATTGTATTAGGTCTTAAGGTAACATTGACAGATTCTCTTCGTCGACTTTCTCTTTGCATCCCCACGGCCTTGTTAAGACATTCCCAGGTATTTTCAGCACACAGATAAATAAAAGAAGCTTTTATCTAGCATCTAATACGACAAACACATCAAGAAACGGTTCTGTGCTCAAGTTATTAACGAAAGAGAAAGTCGACGAAGATAATCGATCATTGTTACTTAGGACCTAATGCAATGTTCAGCTTGAAATGTTTGCAGGAGATAGATTTAAAATCAGTGCTAACATTTGAAAACGGCACAAAAGCCATTTGTAAACAAAGGGTTTGTGGGCCCTTTACTCACTACTTGAAGTACACCCACGCAACACAACAGCAACATCGGGTAGGGGAAATTTTCCCCTTCCTGACGATGCTGTTGGTTTGCGTGGGCGTTCTTCGGGTAGCGAGTAAAGGGCCCACAAACCATTTGTTTACAAATGGCTTTTGCGCCGTTTTCAAATGTTAGCACTGAAATGCAATAATAATATCAGGCATAACATTTGATAACGGCACAAAAGCATTTGTAAACAAACTTTCTAAGGCCCTTTACACGCGAACCAAAGTACGCCCACGCAAACCCTTAACATCATCGAATAGGGGCAACTATCACCTTTCCGAAAGTGGTATTGGTTTGCGTGGGCGTACTTTGGTTCGCATGTAAAGGGCCTTAGAAAGTTTGTTCACAAATGCTTTTGTGCCGTTATCAAATGTTATGCCTGATATATTTTATTAATTTTAACATTGTTTACCAACCCAGCGAAAAACGTGAAAAAATACAAGTTCTACTGACAGATAGCACAAGCATATTTTACTGGTTTCCAGCAATAAAAATACTTTGACTAATTTCCAGGACTCCAAACCAAGCATTGCTGGTTTCCATGGAAACTGCAGTAAAAATATCTTGTTGATGGACATTTTTCAGCAATTCAAATGGCTGGAACGCGGATTCTAAATTTGGTGTGTACAGAATCGTTTCTTGTTGTGTTTGCCATATTAGAAGAAAAATAATAACTACTTTCATCGATCTGTGTGCCGAAAATAGCTGGGATTGTTTGAACATAGAGATTGCTAAAGTATGATTGTGTAAGTGATTTGTTTTCATCGGGAAAATTTTCCGCAATGAAGTTTTTTTTCCCGATGAAAACATTTTGCGTATACGTATACGTGACGCACACTACGTACGATAAACGTCAGCAATCTCTATGGCCGTGAGGATGCAAAGAGAAAGAAGTTGACGAAGATAATCTGTTAATGTTACTTAGGACCTAATGCACTGTTCAGCTTGATTTGTCAAGACCGCTGGGTCAAACTTGCACGCAACTTCAACCCATCGACATTAAAACATTTCTCGCGTCACTTTTCAAAGAGACAAATCTATATTGATTGAAACCCTTCATCGACTCTTTCTTTCATTGATAACTTGAATGCATGCATATTTCAGGCTACTTTTTCTACCTTGTCTGTTAAAAAAAAGATATTGGAATATAAGAACAATTGAACATGTTTTTGGATCCGAGTTTATTAACGAAAGAGAATGTCGTTGAAGAAAATCGATCGATGTAGATAGGTTCTTTTTAAAAGCTACGCGAGAAATTTCGCAATATTTTTGAAGTGTGCGCGCAAACAACACGAAAACGTCAAAATAGCGCGCATCGATCGCTCGGGATTCGCCCGGTTTTCGCCCCATTCATGGATTCAGTATCCATCTGAAAACGTCAACCGCCCAGCTCGCTCAGTAGTTTTTTTTTTGCAAACTGCGAGTGCGAACACATCGAGTCGAATCGAATCGCGCCGCGACGAAAGCAACGGCAAAAAGATTCTCTTATTTCATCCGGAGATTTGTGCAACCGAACGGAACGTTCCGAACGTGAAATCAACGCTAATTGGTGCATCTTGGCAGGGTACTTCCGGTGCATCAGAAGGTTTAAGGATTGGGAGCATTTTCGGTGCAGAAAAAGTGCTTTTTCGTTTGCGCTGTGACGCCGTGTTTTGTGCAAGCGCTGAACATAATTTTTGTTCAGTATCAAAGCGGAAGGTGAGGAGTGTGTGCGGTACGGAACGGCGCAGCGGGACAATATCCGAAGGTACCGAGAGCCAGAGAGGAGCAGATAGAAAGAAAAAAGCACAAGGAAATTTTCAATACACAATACACCACTATCGACCAAGGGAGGAAGAGAGAGATAGAGGAAACGTACCGAAAGAAAGAAAGAGGCTCGCTAAAAAGTGGTGTACAGGGAAAAAAGACGAATCGAATATCGAAGACAACAACTTGATGACGATAACATTGTTATTGGGATTTGTGTGGTGACCTGCTGCCAGTTTGTGTATCCGCCCGAGTTCTGGTTACGACAGAAAAAAAGTTACGCGAAGTATGTGGTGTTAAAAATAAGCTTCCTGATCCCGTGGTTCAATAGAGGAGCTCAAGCACACACAAGTGGGGCGAATAAGAAAATTGCATCGTCGTCGTCGTGGTCGTGGTCGTCGTAACTAGCTAGAGAAAAAAAGGCTGGGTAGTGTGATCACCACGAGAGAAGGGAGTGCGAAAAACAACAGTGCTTTTCTTCCTAGTGGATCGTTTGTGTATCGGAACGAGAGAAACTACCGGGAGATTACATCCGTGGACACTTGGAACAGGTGAGTGGTGCTTCGATAGATACCTACTTCGGGATGGCATGTGCAGAAAATGATTCCGGTGAGAGCAAGTACGCGAGCTCTAACCTTACATTCGGAACCATTTTGAATATGTAAAAATGTTCACGGCAAGTGTTGTTTACCATGGGTCACCTGGAGGGGGTTAAACGGACCAAAAACAAACAATTTGTGGTGGATGGAATGACGGGGAAGGACTTTTCGGTGGCACTTCAAAGGTGTCCAGAAAAATCGGTGTAATTGCGATGTATTAACTGTGAACCAGTCGGATTACATTGTCCTTTGGAAGAATATTCCCTATAGTCATGATGTTTTAGTATTTTGACGACCACGGCGGGGGTCGTCGTGCCAGTAATCAATGAAACCATAACACTTACTACACTGCCCCTTGCAAATCCACTTGCCATTTTGCCATCGTAAATGTGGCTTCCTGTTGCTGGACAGTGTTGCATCAATACTGTTGAGGGTTTTACTAAGCGTAAAATATGCAAGCTTTGTTTGATGAATCACACATTATACAATAGCAGGGTGAAAAAAGAAAACAGAAAAAAGGTAAAATCAGAATTTAATACTCGATGACAATAAAATTATAATGATATTAAAGTATTAAATATCTTAATAAAAATCTAGGGTTGTTCGGGTTGACATCCAACGATTTAGTTTTGTTGAGATCCACCACAGAGGAGCGTTCGGCTAGCTGAGATTACTCTGTATATCAGAGTCCCGTTGAGATGCTCCACCGTGATAGGCTGCCCCTATCCGTTATACCCTTCAAAATTACCTCGGCATTTACTTTCACTGGGCTAACGGAAAATTTTGAATGTTGAAAATTTCGTTGCAATTCTCCTCAGTTATATTCCCAGAGAATTCTGTCGAAATTCCTTTGACATATGCTTTCAAGAAATTATCCCCTCACTTAGATTTGTACTGAGAATTTCTTTAGGATTCCTTGAAATTCCCCTCAGAATTCCCTTTTGTATTCACATATTTACCATTGGTGCTCTCCTCATTATTAGGTTGTAACGTAACTATCCGCAGAATTTCATTCCATTGAATTTTTTCCCGGAGTTTCGTCTTCTGAATTTATTGAATTATTCTCAGCAGTCTTTGGGAATTCTCTTCACACGGCCGTTGCATCCAACGTAAATTTGAGTTCCACCTAATCAAATTCACGAATACGTGCGGCTCAATCGTAAACTGAGTAAAATTTTCCTAGATTTTTCTTATAATCAAGTAGATATTTGAGGAAGACAATTTTACTCAGTCTAAGATTGAGCTTGAACCGAATATCAGATAGAATCTTATGTTCATTTTAAGGGAATTATTAAAAAGGCTCTGCTAAGGAGAATGGTGCTGAAGACATCAACCTTCTATCTTGACATTGTGAAAACATAAATTTGCATCTCACTTACATCCGGAGAACTTTGAGATTATGGCGTAATTGCTTTTGTAAACAAACACGACAATCGCCGATTTCTCGCAAATTAAAGCTCAATCTAAAAAATTAACGGCACAAACAGGTAGGGAAATGATTGCTCTATCATTTAGTATGGTTTGTTTGGCTGAAGACGACAGGCTACCCGAGCAAAGCTGAAGATCAAATTGAAATCAAAATTTGCTGTTATGGTGTAACTTATTTTGAATACTCCAGTTGATCTCATTTTGGTTGACTTAACGGTTAACACAGCAAAAATGAGAGCAAAATTTTACACTGTTGAAGCAAACGGAAAACTAATACTGCTTTCAATGAAATCAATTTATTTACTGATTTTGCATTCATAATGTTTAACTGAATACGGGCCTGGAGTAAATGGTTACCATTCATGTTTCTCAAGCTGAAAGACTTGGGCTCCAACCTCACCCCGGGCATGTCACGAATGACCTAAAATGTGTTTAACTAATCAAATAAACAATAATCATTAGTTCAACGACAGATGAATTTCAATTAAATTTTAAACAAGACGTAAACAGCAGAACTTCAAGTTAAGTTGCTTTCATTTAAAAAGTTTTGACTGCATAATGAAAGCACAATATGATATCAGACTTATGTCGCAACTTTTGAAATCAAAATGAGTTTTCATTATGATAGCAACTGCACACTTTAATATCGATTTGCTTTCATGATGTTAACCAAATTTGCTCGGGTACCGGCTGATCTTCAAGAAGTTGAGGGGAAGATCGGTCGGCTGAAGAACAACAAGCAACTGGTGTACTGCCGCTCTTCGCATGTCGGTCCCATAGCAGTTTTTGTCAAAACTGAGTTTTACAATGCAAATGGTAGCTGATCACTCATATTTTCTTAATACTGGATGAACTCAATAACTTTGTTCTGAAAAATTTTGGAAAGACAGCCAAATTGGTTGTCTCATCACATAAGAAGCAATGGTACGAATCAAGCTAAAAATACGATTTTCTCGGCTTGCTGATTTTTGCCATGGGACCGACATGCGAAGAGCGGCAGTGTAGCTCAACTACCAAGTGAGCTATTAAAATACGGTGGTGAAGCACTGGGTAATTGCCAAGATTTGGGAGGAGTGGATGGAAGGTGTCGTATGCCCAATCTACAAAAAGGGCGGCAAGTTGGATTGCTGCAATTACCGCGCGAACACACTGTTGAGCACCGCCTACAAGGTACACTCCCAAATTCTATGCCGTCGCCTGTCACCATTTGCAAGAGAGTTCGTGGGACAATACCAGGCGGGATTCATGGGTGCCCGCGCTACCACGGACCAAATTTTCGCGATTCGGCAGGTTCTGCAGAAATTCCACGAAAACAACGTGTTCACACATCGTTTGTTCATTGATTTCAAATCAGCATACGATATCGATCGAGATCGACTGTGGCAGATTATGCACGAGTACGGATTGCCGGATAAACTGACGAGATTGGTCTAGGTGACGATGGATCGAGTGATATGCGTTGTTCGAGTACCGGGAAAACTCGAGCCCCTTTCATTCTCGAAGGGGGTTTCGGCAAGGTGATGGACTTTCTTGTCTGCTATTTAAAACCGCGTTGGAAGGTGTGATACTCAGAGCTGGAATAGACGCAAGTGGCACGATCTTCAAGAAGTCTAGTCAGCTACTTAGCTTCGCCGATGACACGGAACTTTGCGACGATGCACAGTGGTCCAAACGGTGTCCAACGTGATGACGTGGAATTATTCCAAAACCATTCATTTAAGGCTTCTGGCTTGCAAAGCTCTATCTTTTGACGGTATGCGTTGTTTGATTAATCCCCCTAAAAGTGAGACACAACATTAAGTTTTTTGAAAAGAGAAGATATAGAGATAGGTGTATTCGGAAAAGTAGCAGCAATTGACAATACAAACCACTCTTTTGAAGACACGAATTCTCTATCTATTCACACAAAGCTATGGAGCGTGTTTTACGGACGATCCCTAAAAATCTGTTTTTAACTATAACTTTTTCCATGTAATTTTTTATTATTTGTCACGTTCTAATCAGTTGTTTATCTTGTTAAAATACACATTTTTGTAGAAGACAAACAGCTATTCTTGATATCTTCGGAGATGTTGTACATATGTGATCAAAATTGGCATGTTTTTGAATTTTAATAAAAAATAATGTGGCAAATAGGGGCTTGTTAGATAACTTCTGTTGAAAGCACATCAAAAACACTGCAAAACACTGCCGGAATTATCTACATCTGACAACATCGTGAAAAGTTACAGCAGTTTTAAGGAGAGAACACAATCACATTTCTTCATTATATTCGCCTAGATACATGGGCGACATTCACGATGTTGACCGATGTAGAAAGTTCCGACAGATTTTTGCAGTGTTTTTCTTGTACTTTCCAACATCTGATCTGCCACCATTTGCCACCCTATGATTTATTAAATTTCAAAATAAATTCAATTTGGATCAAACATGTACAATATCTCCGAAGATTCAAAGAAAAACGAAATGTTTTCTACAAAAATGTGTATTTAGGCATGATAAACAACTCATTAGAACATGACAAACTCGTAAAAATTACATGGGAAAAGATATAGTTAAAAAACTGATCATTAGGGATCTTCCGTAAAAACCGCTCCATAGATTTTGAATAGATAGAGAATTGATGTCTTCAGTAGAGTTGTTTGTAGTGTAAATTACTGCAACTTTTCCGAAGACCCCAACTTTCTATCTCCACTTTTCATAAAACTTAATTATGTGTCTCACTTTTAGGGGGATTAGTCAAACAACGAATACCGTCAAAAAATAGGGCTTTGCAAGCCTAAAAACTTTTCCTAAGACACTAAACACCTAAAATGAAAGGTTTTGGAGTGATTCCACTGGATTGGACCACCGTTAATCAGGCTGAAGGCTGAAGCCAGGCGGATTGGGCTTGCCATCAACGCATCGAAGACGAAATACATGAGAAGAAGAGGCTCTAGGGAAGATAATGTTAGTCTCCCATCCCGAGTTCAGATTGACGGTGACGAAATCGAGATGGTTGAGGAGTTCGTGCATGGTGACGGCCGAAAATGATACCAGCAGAGAAATTCAAGGACGCATTATGACTGGAAATTACGGTGTCTGCTTTAGACTCCCAAGGACGCTCCGTTCGAATAAAATTCGCTGCCGCACGAACTTGACTATCTACAAGACGCTGATTAGGGAAGATGCATAAATGACGTAGCATTTGAGGGGGGAGGTGGGGGTTTCAGAATTTGTGACCGGCCATGTATTGGATATAGCCAAATACACTACGAGGGGGGGAGGAGGGGTCTACAATTCATCAAAAATATGCTACGTCATTTATGGATGCTCCCTTGAACCGGTGGTCCTCTACGGCCACGAGACCTCGACTATACTCGTGGAGGACTCCTATGGTGCTTTCGAACGGAAGGTGTTGCTGACCATCTACGGTGGAGTGCAGATGGAAGACGGAACGTGGAGGACCTGCTACTGGGAGAACCATCCATCATCCACACTGCAACAATTAGGCGGCTATGGTGGGTTGGGTGAAAATTGTTCTC